TATGCGTGGATGCAGGTATATGTGTGCATGTTGACATATGTATATGTAGGTGTGCACAGTTGTAAACACACATGCATGCATGCACATTCGTATGCATGCATGTACGTACGTACGCACATGCGTGCGTACGTATCTATGTGGGTAGATAATCAGGTAGGTAGGTAGGTTGGTAGCCATGTGTGCGTATGTATGCACGCATATATGTATGTATGCATGTGTGAATGTATGCATGTGTGCATGTATGAATGTGTCGATGTATGCATATGCGTACGCATGTATGAATGCATGCATGCTTGCTTGTACGTGTGTATGCGTGTGTGCTTGTCTCTCTCTCTCTCTCTCCCTTGCTCCCTCTCCTCTCTCTCTCTCTCTCCTTCTCTCTCTCTCTCTCTCTCTCTCTCTCCAATCGCAATCGCACATTCTCGGTAAATGATTCATGGCCCCGTTTCTGGTCTGTGCCTGTGGCCTCGTTCCCAGTCGGTGCCATATGGTTGACGCCCGCTGGTTGGTGCCCTGTGGCTGGTGCCCTAAGGATTGGAGACCTGCGGTCGGTGCCCTGCGGTTGGTGCCCTCTTGTTGATATCCTATGGTGCCCTGTGGTGGGTCGCTATGGCTCGCCCCGTGCATTTTCTTTTCAGCCACGTCTTGGAATACACCCACATGCCGAGGCCCGACTTTAAGCTCATCCTCCGTGTCACATGCGTTTTGCACCAGCATTCATCGCAACTAGGAAGCCATGCCACCCCCGCTGGGCCCGCGTTGCCGTGCATGCCTGTCATATAATACGCCAGCGAAGTGGACGGCCCCAATGCTCATGCAGCCCTGAGAGGTAGAGGGTTCGGCATAACGTTCTTAAAGGCCCAGACCCCCGGTTTCGCGGGCGCTCCCGCGAATGTCTGGGGCCAGGAGGGTCCCACAGCGGGCCAAGAAGGCCCGGGGAAGCCGCCCAGATGGTCAAAGAGGGGCCGTAATCGCCCCAAGGTCGCTCCTAGGCGCCCAAGATGGCCTCAAGTCGCACGATGAGGCCCCCCAAAAGCCCCAAGGGGGCCCCAAGAGCACCCCCAGGAAGGCCCCAAGAGGCAAAAATCTGTGACCCCCCCCAAAAAAGGTTGAATGATTTTGGCGTTCTTGCCTTTTCGGCTTCCCGACGTTCCGAGACGGCCCGAGAGGCCCCACATATCGTTTTAAGACAGCCGAAGAGACCTCCAGGCGAGCCCCAAAACGGGGTCGCCTGGTGCCCGCCCGTGGGTGCCTCGTGGGCGACTCGTGCGTTGGGCGGCCGTACGTATCGCACGGGACAGCTTTGCCACGTAGCGTACATGACACAGCTTGCGGCACACAGTTAGCACCACGTAGATTGCTCTGCACGTCCTACACTTAGATTGCACACCTCATGGCTTACACCGTAACTTATCTCATCTAGCGTGAACCACTTTATTTGCGCCACACAGCTTACATACCCACAGTGCAACATCTCATTATTTGTGGCCCACGCTGACAGACATTATTTGAAACCCTGTGCTGTTGTACGGATTTTGACTTGTGCGCCCATGTGGCCTTTATCCTGTTATGTGATACGAACGCACGGGCATATTTTTATAATTGATCTCGTCGGAGCGCTCTCGGGGGCCGCTGGGGGGTAGTATGTCTTCCTAGGGGCCAGTGAATGGCTTCTTGGGGGCCACTTCGGGGCCCCTTTGGGCTTCATGGGGGCCTTCAGGGGGCATCTTGGGTTTTTTTTGTTTGTTTTTGTTGTCCCACAGACGTTAGAGGCACAGGCCCGACGTTATGCCAGGGTCCTCACTCCAACGTGCGCTGCCCAAACCTCCAGCGGCAGTGGCGGAGGCCATGCACCCGGCTCAGGATGTGTTGGCCCTCTGGAGCAACAGCGGGGCCCAGTCGGGCACGCAGCGATGGGCGTTTGCCATCGGCGGCACGGCAAGCGAGGGAGAGAAGCGAGAAGGGGCGGGCCTTCTCAGAAGGCTCCAAAGTCCCCCAGCCTTCCTCCTCTGAGCTGGCGCAGGCGCCCGGCCGCTGGAAGAGGGGCAGGCCCCAGCAGGCGTGGGCAACAGAATTGTCTAAGCATGCTGAGCAGATTTGTCGTAATTATGGTTGGAACTTCTCAGATTTGGGCACCTTTTCCAGCGGAAGCCTGGAAAGCAACGGTGCGCAAGAATGCTGTCTAGCGCACGCTCGTGCCATTACTCATGGGCCTACGGACGCGCGGCTTCATTCATTCACTAGAACCACGCGCGCGCTTAGGTTCTAGCCAGGCCCAGTTCTTGTGCATTTCAGTGGGGCACGAAAGTAAATGCCCAAATCGTGGTTGACAGCAGGCCCACAATACAACCCATCTTTGTTTGAAAGCGCTGGCTCTACAAGGAGTTTGTGAAGCCTTGTTGGCCTGGCTGCCTCAAAAAATCTGGTTTGAAGCATTTCTCTCCCACTCTCTCTCTCTCTTTCTCTCTCTCTCTCTCGTTATCTCTCTTTCCCTTTTCATATTCCTTCTGCCTCTCCTCCACCGTCTCCTCACCCGCGCTCCTCCTCCTCCCCTTCTTCCTCATCCTCCTCCTCCTCCTCCTCCTCCTCCTCCTCCTCCTCCTCATCCTCCTCTCCATCTGCCTCCTTTTCCCCCCCCTTCCTCCTCCTCATTCCGTGTATCCTCCTCCGCCCCGTTCCCCTACTCGTCCTTCTCCTTATCCTCCTTGTCCTCCGCCTCTTCCTCCTCCCCCTCCGTCTCCTCCACCTCGTTAGTTTCCTGTGTCCCAGGCCTCGCGGTGGACGAAACTCGCAGTTTCGAATTTTGGGGTATCGCATTGGATCGTTCTTGGGCCGTCTTGGTTCTTATGGCTCGTGCGGAAGCCTCTTAGGATGTCTCGTGGCGGTCGTGGGGGCCTATTGGGCCATCTTGGAGCGTCGGACAAGCGAAAAGGCGACGCTGCCGAAATCTTCCAAAACAACAGTGCAGTCAACAATTCTGACCTCTCGGGACCGTCTTGTCAGGCGTCTTCCTCCTCCTCCTCCTCCTCCTCCGCCTCCTCCTCCTTCTCCTCCTTTTCCACCGCCTGCCCCCCGTCCTATTGCATGCCCTCCTCCTCATCTGTCCCCTCCTCCTCCTCCTCCTCCTCCTCCTCCTCCTCCTCCTCTTCCTCCTCCTCCTCCTCTGTTCCGTCCGTCCTCCTCCTCCTCCTCCTATGCCTGTCCTGCTCCTCCTCCTCCACCTCTTCCCCCGCCTGTCCCCCCTCCTCCGTCCTGCCCTCCTTGTCCTCCGTCTCTTCTTTCTTTTTGCCGCCTGCTTCCAGGCGTGGAAGAGGAAGGGGGTGGCCAGGCGGGGGCAATGGAGGAGGAGGAGGAGGAGGAAGTGGTGGAGGGGAGAGAGGATGTGGAGGAAGAGGAGAAAGAGGAGCAGGAAGAAGAGGAAGCAAAAGGGGAGGAGGAGAATGAGGAGGAGGAGGAGGAGGAAGAAACAGAGAAATCCTCGAGACGCCCAAAATCATTCGAAGACGCCGAAGATGACCCCACGCCGCCTCACGCACGTCGATGTCGTCCCGAGCGTCTTGGATCCTGGGGCTCGTAGAAGGCCGAAGGCCTCTTGGCGGTTCCTTCGGGCCTTCTGTGGGCCGTTCGGGGGTCTCTCGGGGCAGCATTTTCGAAAGCGGGGCTCAATTTTGAATCCCTCTTGAAGCCCCCTTGGGCCGTGTTGGGCGCGCCTTCGGCCGTCTTGGGGCTCTCCTGGGCCGTCTTGGAACTCTCTCGGAAGCCTCCTGCCCGACTTAGGGAGGTACTGAGGACCTCTTGGGTTGTCGTAGAACGTCGCGTTGCCGAAGAGGCGACAAGGCCGAACTCCATCAAAAACCAAAATGGAATCAACGATGTTGGCCTGTAGGGCTGTATGGGCCGTCTTGCGAAGTCTCCTGGAAGCCGCTCGGGGCGGTTAGACGTTAGACGGCTTCTTTGGCTGTTGGACGTCTCTTGGAGGCCTCTTGAGCGCTTTGGGGGCGGCAAGCTCGCATTTCTGGAACTCTGAAGACCCGTCTTGGACTGCACTTGGGATCGCCTACGGCCGCTCTTGGATTGTCTTGGGCAATCTGGTGACAATGGCGTGGGCCGTATGATGCCGGTCTTGGGCCGTCTGGTGACGGTTTTCGGTGCCTCTTGCCCGTCTTGGAACGTAGGACAACGGAGCAGGCGACAAGGCCGGTATCTTTGAAAGCAACTCGGAAGAGCAACGAGTTGGGCCTCTCGGGGCCCTCTTGTGAGGCTTGTCAGAAGCCTCTTGGGGCGGCTTCGCAGCCTCATGGACCGTATGACGCCCCTGCCTCCAGGGGTCTCTGAGCTGGGGCGGGAGACTGACATCTGTGGGGTCATTTTGTGGCGCTCTTGGACCGTCTTGGGCTCATCTTTGACCGTCTTGGCGGACGGTTTACGGGGCCTCGGAGGCCATCTTGGAGCGTCGGAAATGAGCAACAAAAATCTGACCCCCACCCCCAACGAAGAACTCGCACTTCCTGAGTCCAAAGAAGTCGCACCTCCTGGGGCCACTCGTTGGGGGTAGGGGATATTTTTTGCTGTTGTGCAGCAGACAAAAAAAAAAAACGACCCCCACTCCCAACGAATAGGTCGCCCCTCCTGAAGCCATTCGTTGGGGGTGGGGGGTGTTTTCTTCTTGTTGGGGAAAGACGGAACGGCGAAAACGCTAAATTCCTTCTCGGAGCAATGGAGAATCCCCCTTGGGTGTTTGCAGTGATTTTTGACCGTTGTTCGGCTCTGAGGGGTCTTGAGTCATTGAGGAGGCCTCCATCTCGAAATCGATGTCTCCGGAAATCGCTGTGGAAACATCGCTCCGGGTGCAGACGCGTGGCCTCTGAGAGGGTTGTCTGGGCTTCTTGGAAGCCCCCCAAGACCCTTCGGTTCGTACTGCCATTGCGCCGGGATTGTGGCCAGAGAGGTGTCACACCTGGTTGGTCATCTTGGCGTCCTGCTCGGGTGCCTCTCGGTATAGCGATTTGTTCAAGCCTAGCGGGGTTCTGAAAAATTTGAGAGGCGAGAGCGCGGAAACATCAGAACATCACACCGAGTGGCATCATTGGGCCTTCTCGGCGGTCTTGCTAGAGTCTTTCGGGGCTCGTTCCGGAGCGCTCTTGGGCAATATTGGGAGGCAAGGGGCTGTCTTGGGGCTCTCTTGGGGCCCAGTTGCGCCCTCTTGGGGATCTCCTGTGGTTTTCGTAGGGCTCTCCTTGGGAACCTTCTGGGCCCTCTGAGGCCGCTCTTGGGCCGTCACGGAACTGTCTTGGGCCGTCTTGGGGCGCTCTTGGGGCGTTTGGGGGCGCTCTTGGGGCCTTCTCTGGGCCGACTTGGGACGATCTATGGAGTTTCTTGGGCCGTCTGGGACGCTCCGGAGCCAAAAAAGCGAATATGCCAGAAATATATGTTATCCACTAGGAATTAGGCGAATTTTGCTTCATGGGGGTCTGCAGCGCCGTTCTCAGTGCAGCCGGGCGTCTGTGGACAGGATCAAGGCGCAGACTGAAGCAGCACAGTGTCAAGTCTGCATTAAAGCATCCGTCGGGTGTAACGCAGCCCTCGGACGTAGAACTCATTCTGGGTGAGTGGGGAGGCAATGGAAAGAGAGCGGAAGTGCGCCTCCGGCAACCAAGCGAAGGGAGAACTTAAATCCAGGCCATTGAAACCTGGGCCGCCACAGTGAAAGTTATTATCCAACTCTTCATTCACCTGGAACTGGAACCCGGCAATCTAAATGCCCAGGTCTTCGCCTGGGCCCCTGCTCCAGAGAGCCGCAACCTAGTATATATAATTGTAGATGGAAGTGTGATTTATTTGCGAGCAGAAGCTCCGTGTGATAGTTTAGCAAGTCGCGGCCTCTGGAAGGGGAGCGTTGCTTGCTGGCCTCAGGGCACCGCCCCACACATGAGGGCGTCGACTGGGGAACTCTGGGAACGCATGCCAGCCTTGAAACGTCTGCAAGGCGAGGACGCCACAATGGATAACAGAAGGAAGGGGTGGGTGTGGAAGGAAGATAGTGGCTGAGAAGTAGCAGGACAAGGGGATGATGACGAAAAAATGATGAGCATGAAGGGAACGCTACGGACAGCCGTCGATCCGGGAAAATCGGCTCGCCCAAACACTCGCAATATAGATCCCCCGCCCCTAGGAGATCCAAACGGAACCTCTGGCGGAGTGTCCTGGCGGATACAGGACGTGCGAGGCACGAAGGCGGCGGCTGCTGTCTACTCCCCCCCCCCCTTCGCCCCCCCCCCCCTGCTCCTCCACGCCAGCACGTCACGCGCGCGACAGGCGCGGCGCGGGCAAAGACGAACTCCCTCGCGTCGAGGCCGCGACAGCCCACCGCCCATCAGGGCCGGGTTGGAAGAACACAAGTATAGACGTACACCAAAACCGGCTTTCCAAATGTCAGTCCATCTTGACCGGTCTTCGGGCCGCTTTGGTGCTTTTTCGGGTGCTCTTAGTTTGCGGCGCTCTTGGAGTGCCCCGGGGGCTGTCGTCAGCGGCTGGAGATCGGCCCAGGAGGTCCGGGAGGAGGGGGAACCAGATTAGGGGTTCGGGGCCGTGGCTTTTGGGCCCCAATTTCGTTCCCCAGGCGCGCACTGGCCCTGGGAGGCCCAGGGCTGGGATCCCGACTACAAATGTGGGGCCCAGGCGTCATTTTCCTTGCGTTTTTACACGGTGTCGGCGACCTGTGGCATATCGCGCGAGGCCTCTTGGGGGCCTCTTGGAGGCGTCCCGGGAGTCTCTTGGGATTTCCTGGGGGCCTCTTGGAGCCGAGGGCCCAAAAAGTGCGTTTGGCTCCCCCGTCTGGGGATCTTCTGAGAGCCGTCTTGGGGCCCTCTTGGGCGTCTTAGAGGCGTCTTGGGCCTTCTGGGGGTCCTCTTGGACCGTCTTGGGGCCGTATTGGGGGCCTCTTTGGCCGTCTTGGGGCGATCTTGGGGGCCTCATGGGCTGTCTTGGAGCGTCGGGAAGCCGAAAAGGCGAGAACCCTGAAAACCGTCAAAAACAATTAAAAACCCACGGGATTTTGCTTTGGGGGCGTTATCGAGGAGCTTCCTGGAGGCCTCTTGGATCGTTTCGGAGGTTTCTTGGGCTGTCTTGGGACTATCTTGATCGTCTTGAAACCATCTGCAGCGGCCCTGGAGCGCTCTTGAGGCGGTCTTGTGTCGTGTTGGGTACTCTTGGAGCGTTCCTGGGGTGAGACCCGCCCGTAACGGACCCCAAACACGTCCCGGGCCCCGGGGGCTAAATGGGGTGGCCCCATTTGTCATTATGTCCCGGGGAGGGCCAGGGGGGCCCAACACTCCGACATTATAGATATTCATTCCCCGAAGACAGAGAAAACCTCTCAGAAGGCCAGAGGCCTTCTGAGAAGCCCCGCCACCTTCTGAGAAGGCTTTCTCCTTCTCACTTCCCCCCCTCGCTTTCTCCTTCTCACTTTCCTCCCCCCACCCATCCAGCCGTGCTCCAATTCGGAATCCCACAAGCTCACTGGGCATAGGTGATTTCACAAACTTGTGCCCCTTGTGCTCGGAGCAGTGCCCCAAACGAGGGACTTTTCATGCCAGTACCCTCACCGAGAGCCTCGTGCAAGGCCAAAACAACGGAACAGAGAGCGTCGAAGCTCGATCGATACCCCGGTTCTGAGCCCCACGTTGGGGAGCCCGCGAAACTATGAGCAAGTGCACTTCCCGAAGGCCGCGTCGGCCGCCTCATCGCAAGTTGGGGCGATGCCCCAGACCGGAGGCCTAGGCACTGCGGAACGCCAGGCATGCCACTGAGGGGCAACGAGAAGGCGAGCACTCAGGACGAGGAGAGCGAGGAGTCCTTCCGCGCCCCCCCCGCGGCGCACCTGCACTCCGATTGGTGTCGGCGTGTCGACACTGGAAGCTGTGACGCCACCACTCTCAGCAGTCGCTGCGGGGAAACCGTGCCCTGCTGCCTCCTCCTCGGAGAAGACGCCAACAGCACGCCCCCCGGGACACGCCGATTCCAGGTCAGACAAAAGATCAAGCTGGGCAAACACGAGCTCTTCAAGGAGACGCCCTGCGGGCCGACGGAACTGCGGGCCAAGTGCACCGTGCACTCCGTGGCAGTTTGCGGCACAGGCTGACCAGCAGCTTGATCTACAACGACATCCCAAAAATAGTTACTCACCGCGTGGAGCTCCCCATATGTGCATCTCATGTTTTATGATATGCCATAGTGAAGGAGGAGGAGTAGGAGGCGTCCAAGTAATCACAAGAACCCCATCTTAGGATATGGGGAAAAAGCACCGGCAAATCTTGGATGGATCCCTGACAGGCCTAGGGGCACACATAGTGTGAATGCCCCGGCGCGAACCACTGAAAGACCGAGGGGCAAACATCGTTCGAAGGCTCTGGCGCGGTCAGAGGAGAGAGGGGACAGACGGAGGAGGAGGAGGAGGAGGAGGAGGAGGAGGAGGAGGAGGGGGAGGAGGAACGCATAGGCAGGCAAGTATCAGGCTGCGTGCCCGACTCACCCGAATCATGCACAAAAAAGGCAGCCGCAGCGGAAGGGGGGAGGGGGGGAGGCAAGGGCAGAAACGCAACATGCGCTGAGACTACAGTGCGCCGAGCGCGACCCAGAATGGCGCGGCATGCCGAAGTCAATCAGTCCGAGAATATGACCACGCTATGGCTTCCGAGGTGGCCGCGCCGTCTTCGGTCGCAGGTGGCTGACCGAAGACGGCGCGGGCAGCGAGGAGTGGCTATACTGACGCCCACCTGTCACAGTGATGTCCAGTAGCATATGGATGATCCTTTTGTGAGCGATGTCGCACTCCGCACGCAGCTTCTGCAAATCGAAATTGGTGCTGGTCCCCTTGAGCAGCATGCATTTTTCCACAAAGGTAGTGATATCAACCTGCCCGTCGTAATCGGGTGACTTGGCCATTGCTTCGAACAACTCTTTGATGCTGTGCTTCTTCAAATCCATCATCGCGAGCAAGTGTGGGATACGCTTCTGGCTTAAGCCCAACTTGAACTGCTCTTGTGTCAGCCTCCCCGAGCCTTCGGTGTCCAAAATTTTACAGAGGTGTGTGAGCTCCCTGACATACTCATGATTCCGGCGAATGTATTCGTGGGCAAGCGTCTCTGGATCTGGTGAGAGACACTTCATCGCCGAGTCTACAAATTCACAAAAACAATGAACGCTAAGAATAAGAAACTCCCAATCGGACCTGTTTCTTTAATCGTCGTGTACGCAAGAGCCCAGTCCTCGCCACCCGTTGTTGCCATAAAAAGCGTCGTGATTGAACGTCCGACCGAGCCGAAATGCTCGTCAAATGTAGTAGCATCCAGAGTTTCTCCTATTGCGTCGATGTGACTGGTGATGGCCTGCATAAATACAAGTGAGACTACCCCGTATACTGAGAAAAGCATCACCACACTCCACATGAAGTTGTCAAATGAGCCCTGGATGCAAATAATGAAGGCTTGAAGGTGTGTTGAGTGGTACATCAACTCGAGCACCTTAACCACCTTTAGGAGCGCAAGAAAGCGTAGCTTGAACGTAGTGCCCAACACCAGAGTGGCACCATCGGAGATGACCACCGTCATGTCGAGCATATTGACCTTCCAATGGCCTCCGATGAAAAACCAGAGCCTGTGCACGGCGAGCTTGAGAACTGCCTCGAGCACGTAGAGCACCAAGAACACCGAATTGGCAGCCAGCATGCTGCGATCGGCTGGGCTTCTGATCCTAGCATTCGCATCTTGGACCATGAGCCAGATGCTGACGAGCACCACAGCCCCGAAAAACAGCTTGAAAACGTGGCCATCCACGAAGCTGGCGAGCCGCCCCGAGCGCGGCGGCTCCTCATTCAGCCACCGCGTGCGGAGGCCCAGGCTCTCCGACAATGCTTTCGACCTTTCGCTGACTTTTGCGAGCAAGCCATTGTGGTTATCTCCTCCGTCGTTCGCTGTAACGATACTGTTCACTGCCGACCCCATCCGAAGCAGGTAGTTAGTTGCAAGACAGTTCATCGCCTGTTCCTGAATCGGATGTTCCTCCCGAGATGGGGTGTCTTCAATGGACGACTCAGCGGCCCTGTCTGGATCTGATGTCTGCGTCAAAACTTCGTCATCATGCTGGATTGAAACTCGGCTCTCCGCCCTGGGGATCTCTGCCCCTCTCCCGGCGGGCGCAGCAGAACCACATCCGCCACCGCCAGCGGGAGGGCCCCCCACCCTGCTGGACGAGTCCAGTCCGAGGGTCGCTGTCCCACCAGAATGGCTGAGCCAACCTTCAAGGGCCGCAGTAAGTTTCGTCCGCACCGCCTCTCGCAGGGGCCCGCCGAGGCAGTCCTGCAGCTCCGCGCGCACGGCCGCGCGCACGGCGCCGACGAACGGATCCAGGGCCGCGTCTCTGGCTGCAGCGGCGCTGTTAGCATGAATCTTGTTCCTGCTGCTGCTTGGGAGGGAAAGCGTGGGTGAAAGCAGCTGGGGCTCCCCGCGCCCGTGCGGAAGAGACCGGGGGGGAGCCCGCGGCGGCGCGGGCACGGCATCTGCAGGCTCGGCCACTGTGGCGGGGAGCTCGCACCAGTGGCCTTCAGACGAGATAGGCGAAGTCAGACGCCTCACGGAGCCAGGAGGAACACTTGAGCCAAAATGGCTACGGAGGGCCTCTTGGGGGCTTCTTGGGGGCCTCTTGGGGCCTCCTGGGAGCCTCTCGGGGCCGAGGGCTCGAACTGTTAGTTTGGGTCTCCTGTCTGGGCCCCCTCTTGCAGCCGTCTTGGGTCTTGGGGGCCTCGTGGGCTATCTTGGAAGCCCAAAACACGGCACACCCAATCAATTACTTTCAGAAGAAGCGGTGGTAACCCTTTCCCTAAAGCGGAATAGTGACTCCTGAACGCAAGACATCTCAAACACCATGCTCTGATTTTCTCGATGGTTACCAATTTCTGGGCGCGCAGTCACACCCGGAAATCAGAAGCAAAACATCGGCGTTTGCCGTTCCTTCAAATGAGACCATGGTTGACCGGGATGAAAAAAACACCCTTGCCCCGGGTCAGAAGTGCGTGGTCTGTAAACCTCCTGGGGGCTCCCACAAGCCAGAGAGCCGCCAGGACGCCGCGCGACACGCGCGACACGCAGGGTTTACCCCGTCAGCCCACAGGAGGTTCAGCGCACAGCGCCCCGTCAACCAGGGCAGGGGCATTTTTGTTCGGCGGTGGACAGACCTCCCTTCAGTAAACCTCCCCTTCGTGAAAACGGCCTGGTACCGAAACCGACGGACCTGGACCCGCAAAAATGACGGCCACGACGCCCTCTCGCGAACCGAAAGCAGCCAATTCCTTAATCGACGTGTCAGGGTAGGAGGTCTATCAACCTCCGATGTGTACGTCCTCGACAGGAACACTTCACGCGTGCGCCTGCCGGAGTCATGCCGCGGTCATCGCGCGCCCGCCGGCACCGACAAATAAACTGCGATGCGGGCCACACGCGCGCGTCCCCACGAGATCGTCGCCAGCCACCTGGTGCTGCAGGCACTTCGTGACTGAAGGGGCCCTGGGGCACACAAGTAAATGAACAGAAATAACAGGATTACCCACATTTTCCCATATTATCTGGGTTTTTGTCTTCCCGCCCACTTCCCATATTGTCCCATATTGTCCTGAGAGTCGACGATTCATTGTGTCTGTATGTTATTGAATCGCTTCGCTCATTCCGCCGGCCCGTGATATGGCATCGCTGGTTTTTGTCTGTGTGTTCGTTGCCCATGTTGCGCTCTTGGGGGCGGGTGTCGTTCGGACGCGTTGCGTGGGGAGTTTTGATGGTGAAGCAGTTCCCTGGGGGTCGTCTCTCGATGGGGCGAAATAGAGTCGTCGTCAAGATGCTTCTTTGGGGGGCCTCTTGGGGTCTGTTGAGAGGCCGTTCGGGGGCGCCTGGGAGACATGTTTGAAGCCTTCTGGGGCTTCTTTTGGGCCTCCTGGGAGTCTCCTGGGGCCTCTTGGCGACATCTTGGGGCCTCTTGGAGGCCTCTTGGGGCCTCTTTGGGACCTCCTGGGCGCCTTCTGGGACGGAGGGCTCCATTTTTGAGTTCTCGGTATCCCTCCTGAGTCCCTCTTGGGCCCGTCTTGGGGCCTCTTGGTCCGTCTTGGGCGGCACTTGGGCCGTCTTGAGGGCTCTCTTGGGTCGTTTCGGCGCCGTCTTGGGAGCTTCGTGGGCCGTCTTGGAGCGGTCTTGGGGGCCTCTTGGGCCGTCTTGGAGCGTCCGGAAGCCGAAAAAGCCAGAACACAAAAAACATCGAAAAAACAAATGAAAATCAACGATTTTGGCCTCTTGGGGCTCTCTTCGGAGGCCTCTTGGAAGGCTCTTGGGGCGTCTTGGAGGCCTCTTGGGCTGTCTTGGGGGCCTTTTGGGCCGTCTTGGGGTCATCTTCGGCGTCTTCGAGCGCTCTTTGGGCGTCTCGGGGGCCTCTTGGGCAGTCTTGGGGGCCTCTTGGGGCACTCTGAGCGCGCTCTGGGGAGCCTGAGAGGCCGCACCCAGAAGGAAAACCATCTCTGAGTAGACTTGGTCGGGCGGCGGTCGGGGTACTTTTCGCCGGGGGACCCCCAGGGGCCGCCCCGCGCGCGCGAACTAGGAATACTGTTAATACTGTTAACCAGTTACCGGAGATCTTAGCACGCCCTGGCCCGTTGGGCCGGCGAATTCCGCCTCCTGAATGACAGCGGGGCCCATAGACATACGAATCCCAATCGGTCTTCTAGTTGAACATGTCGAACTTCTGCGCGCGCATCTCCTCATACTTCTCAATGGCACAATCGACGTCAGCATCGCCAGCACCAACAGTGACGTCGTCATCATGCCTGGCCGAATCGCAACACTACCATCCACCGCCGCCGTCATCAACACCACCGTCATCATCACCATCGTCATCCTCAATTGTCCTTGTTGCCGTCATCGAAACCATAGCCACCACAATCATCACCGCCACCATTACCATCCCAATTGTCATCATCATCATGATTGCCATCTGCATCCTAGTCAGAATCAGCATCATCAACAGACTGATCATCCTCATCGCCACCACCATCATCAGACGCATCATCAGCACATTCATCATCAGCATCGTCATCATCATCATTATCATCGCCAGCATCATCATCACCACCATCATCATCACCATCATCATCATCATCGTTGTCGTCGTCGTCGCCGATGCCGTCGTGGCTGCGGGTGGGTGGGCAGGATGCCTGCCCGAACAGAAGACTTGACGACTCAACACACAGCGGCTGCTCGGGGCCAACGCGCTGACATCAGTGGATCAAGAACAGAACAGCTTGTGCACCACAACAGTTAGGTCGGTTATGTCCTCCTACAGGCGGATTTTTGGCGAAAACTCAACTAAAGTACGCAAACATGCCCCATCATAGCCAAGCATGTTTTATCGTCCCACAACTTGTTAAACATACTTTTGACGTGTTAAACAACAGCTCGGCACCACATGCAAGAGAGAACGGCTTCCACCCGCGGGGGTGCCTGCGCCAGTCGAGGTAACCACGCCACCGCCCTGCTGAGTAGCAGCGCCGCTGGCGCAGCGGCGGCCACCAGCCACGCGGCTGCTGGTCTGACTGGTCTGACTGTTCCCGGCCCGCTTAGCCCCTGCGCTCGTTTTGCGTGAGCTGCTGCTGAGGCTACCCCTCCTCCTCCTCTTCTCTTTCCGCGTGTTCCACTTCCTCCCCCTCCTCCGCTTCCTCCTTCCCCCCCTCCCTTCTCCCTGCAAGTCCTCCTCACACCTCCGTCGCACCCTCATGTCTCCTCCTCCTCCTCCTCCTCCTCTTCCCTTCTCGCCCTCTCTCATCTACCTCCTCCTCCTCCTCCTCCTCCTCCATCCTCCTATTCCTCCTTCTTCTTCTACTCTTTCTCCCTCTTCGTCCTCATCTTTCGTCATGCTCGCTCAGCCTCCCTATATGCCCCCCTGCTCCTCCTCGTGACTCCATCCTCGTGACTCCCTCCTCGTGACTCCCTCCTCCTCGTGACTCCACCCTTCACTACCCCTCCGAGACGCACAAAAGGCTCAACGTGATGGCCGAGCCTCCACCTGTGGGTCGGCATGTTCCAAGGCTGTAAGGGGTGCGGACTCCAGACGCTCAGACGTTCAAGTGGTTGGCCGAG